CTCCCCCCGCGCCTGCTGCCCTCCCCCCCGACAGCCCTGGCTCTGGCTCACAGGACAAGGGGCCCGATCCGGCTTCGGGCGAGCACGCGCCGCCTGGGAACGGGCCGGGGGTCAAGTGTCCCACAGCCAGAGGGGGAAGGGCTAGACCCGGAGAGAGACGCTGGAAAGGCACCGCTGGGAACTCCCGGCCGAGACAGGCTCCAGCTGGACTTCGATCTGCAGCGCCGAGCATCAGCTGGGCGCACAGGTCAGACCAAAGGTCCATCTAGCCCCGTGACCTGTCTGCCCATTGGCACTGACCATTTGTGTTCCGAAAAGAGATATTGACGGAGTTGCTTCTAACACATCTACTGTTAAACAGTCGCTCTAAAAAACCCTCCTTGTTTATACATTTATTCAATAAAATATGTTTGAGCTTAATTTAAAAGTGGCAGAAAAAGGTAGATTCATTTTGAAGAAAAGGGTTTTATAAACAGACCCCTGTCCTTTCACAGCCTGCACCACTCCTTGTTTCTCCTAACCTCCCCACCACGTGCACCCCACAGCAGTCATCCCGCTTCCCCACCCATTTCCAGAAAGCCTGTAGGGGGGAAGCTCATTTTCCCATGCCATGCCATGCCCCTGGCTCCTCCAAGGGCAGTCGGAGCCGAGCTGGGACCGGCGCTCCCTTTGGCTGCTCCCCTACAAGAGAGGCCCAAAGGGGATGTTTAGATGGCACGCTTTCTACGGTTCCAGTCCACGTTGCTTTGTTAGCACCACGTGGCCGGAAACATACAGGCTCTTTACCTCCCCGAACGACCCTTCACACAAGACTCTGGACATGGGCTTGGTCCAAGAAGGCGCAGCCAGCCGGCCAGGCTGAGCCACAAACCGGGCCTAGCCCTGACAGAGATGGCAGAGCAAGCCACGCTCAGCGGCCACTACTCACAGACACTCCTGTGGCAGTCATCTTGCTTCCCCACCCGCAATGGTGAGCAAAAGCTATGGCATGGGACTCCTGTTCCAGATGGAGACAAATGAGGTGCTCCAAAGGGCAGAGCAGCCTCCTGCTGGGTCCATGAAGAGGCAGCCACAGTCAGTGTGGTTTGAAGGCACCATGGCAGAGGTGCCTTTTTGGCCCCCCACTGCTTTGTGGCCAACCAGGCATTTGCTCAAGGTCTCAGCAGCCCTTGCTCCTGCAGAGGCCAGTGGGCAAGTCAGGAAGTTGCCTATTGAGTGGCATGCAGCAAAGGGCCTTGGGGAGAAGAAAGCTACTTCACCTGACCAGGGACTTGAACCCTAAGATTAAAAGTCTGATGCTGTACCCACTGAGCTAGCCAGGCTCACAAGGAGACTGCTTCCCCCTTGGAGTGTGTCTATACAGCAAAAAAGCAATCTGCTTTTTCGAAAGATAAGGTCCACACTGAATGGATGTTATCTCCCATTTAAGTTGTGATTAATATGGATGGAGTGACCACCAGAGCACCTGTGCTTTTTCCTCTTTCCTCTTCTTTCGAAAGAACTCCCTTTTCCCCGCCTTTTTCCGAAAGAGCTATTTTAGAAAAAGGCTTCTTCCTCATAGAAAGTGGTTTACCAATGTCAGAAAAACACCTCTGTTCTTTCAATTTTTTTTCTGAAAGAACTCAATTGCAGTTTGGATGTAAGTGAAGTTTTTTTTTTTAAAAGAAATGGCTGTTTTCTCCAAAAAACTCTGTCGTGTAGACATACCCTGAGTTACAAGAGGTGGGGTTTCTATTAGAAAATAGGTAAGAATATAAGAACATAAGAACGGCCAGGCTCAATCAGACCAAAGGTTCATCTAGGATCTTGTCTTCCAACAGTGGCCAATGCCAGGTGCCAAGAGGGAAGGACAGGGAATCATCAAGGATGTGTCTATAGTGCAGGGCTTAGCTTAAAATAAGCTACGCAAACTGAGCTACGTCAATGGCGTAGCTTATTTCAAAATAGCTTATTTCAAAATTGGGAGCTTCTACACAGCACTTATTTCAAAATAGAGCACTCTTCCCCCGACTTCCCTTACTCCTCATACAATGAAGGTTACAGGAATTGGAGTAAGACGTCCTCCAGCTTGACAGTATTTCAACATTATTTTGAAATAACTGCCTGCTGTATAGATGCGGACTAAGTTATTTAGAAATAACACTAGGTATTTCGAAATAATGTTGCTGTGTAGACACAGCCCTGTTGCCCATTTCCTGCTTCAGACAGAGGCTATGGATATCATTCCTGCGCATTCTAGCTAATAGCCATTCATGGACCTACCCTCCATGAATTTACCGAGGTTTTTTTGAACACTGCTAAAGTTCTGGTCTTCAATGACATCCTTTGGCAAGGAGCTTCTGAGGTTGACTGTGTGTTGTGTGAGGAAATAATTCCCTTTTTTTTTTTTGAAACCTGCTAGCCATTAATTTAATTTGGTGACCCCTAGTTCTTGTTTCATGGGAACAAATAAATAACTTTTTCTTATGTATTTTCTCCATACCAGTCATGAGTTTGTAGTCTTATATCTTCCTTAGAAGTCTGAGTCTTATTAATCGTTCCTCATATAGCAACCACTCCATACCCCTTATCATTTTTATTATTTTTTCTGTAGCCATCCCACGTTCTAATACTTAGTCCTGACTCGAGTGCAGGGGACTGGATTAGATAACTTGTCGAGGTCCCGTCCCATGATTCAACACTGATTTCATTTTACACACAATTGCAGCACCTACAGAGGGTGACTTCAGCAAAGCACAACCATTCTTTCCTCCATATCTGCATAGTAGGGCCACATTTAATAATTCAAAAGATTAGTCAGGTGGTATCTTCTGCAGTAACCTCATGTAGGGCCTGGGACACAATAGGTATTTCTGGTTTCTCAGGGCATGTCTACACTACAAAATAAGGTTGAATCAAATATGGTTGATTTCTGGGCACTTGATTTTGTAACAGCGAAGGTCAGTGTCCTCACTGTGGGGAAGAATCAAATGTAGTTGGAAATAGTGCATCCCATTAGGGAGCCTGCAATCAACTCAGAGAGTGATGCACCATGGGTAGCTTTGCATTTTGGGCTATACTCTTGGTGCTCACTGGTAGTTATGGACTCATGTCCTCAGTGTCCCATAAGAGGCACAACTAGACCCTCCCCCCTTACATGGGATCCCTGTGAGGCAGTGTGCTACGTTTTTTTGTACCCTGGTTGCTCATGCAGACACTATAGCAGCACGAGCATGGAGCCCAGTTTGCAGCAGACCACTGTGATGCTGATGTGTGTCCTGGTGTGCCTAATGGCGCAATACTTGGAAAGCGTATGGCTGTCGCTCTCCCAGGAAGAGGACAAGGACAAATCTCAGCCTGGCATGGAATCACTGCTCATACAAGCCCTGCCAGTCCTGTGGACAAAGTGTAACACTGGTTCTGGTGCCGTGAGACAAGCTGAGACTTGTGGTGCAGAGATGGGGCGATCAGCAGTGGCTGCAGAACTTCCAAATGCACAAGATCACATTCTTGGAACCTTGTGGATGGCTTTCCCCTGCACCGAGGGGTGAGAATACCCAAATGGGACCTCCTATGACTGTAGAGAAGTGCTCAGCAATAATCCTATGGATGCTTGCAATGCCAGACAGCTACCGCTCAGTGGGGAATCAGTTGAGTGGGGAAATCTACAATGGGGGTTGCTGTCATAGAAGTAGCCAAAGCAATCAGCACCATTCCTCTACGGAGGGTTGTGACTCTGAGAAGCATGGATATCAAAGTGGAGGGCTGTGCTGTGATGGAGATCCTTGATTGCGGTGGGGCGACAGATGGAACACACATCGCCATCTTGGCCCCCAACCACCTTGCCTCACAGTACATTAACTGCCAGGGGTACTTCTCCATGGTGCTGCAGCTGCTGGAGGATCACAAGGGCCATTTCATCAGCATCAACATGGGGTGGTTGGGAAAGATGCATGATGTGCACATCTTTAGGAACGCCTGTCTCTGCCGAAAGACGCAGAGTGGAACTCCCCGTCCCCCCCCAGATAGGAAAATCATAATAAAGGTGGAAATGCCCTGTTGCAATCCTTGGCAACCAAGCCTACCCCTTGCACCCATGGCTCCTGAAGCTGTATGTGAGCAGCCTGGACCCCAGTAAGCAGGAGTTCAGCAATAGGCTGAGCAGGTGTAGAATGGTGATTGCATGTGGATGTTTAAAGGGAAGGGTTAGGAGTCTCCGGAATGAGCTGGACCTCAGTGATTGCAACATTCCCTTTATGGTGGCAGTCGGCATTATCTTGGCAACACAGCTTCACAGGTGATTGCTCAGCCCTGCCCAGTCTGTCAGCTCCCTGCATGGAGCCCTGAGTCTCTGACTGGGTGGGGCTGAGTCAAGCTGGGCTGCCCGGCAGCTTAGAGGGAACACTGGAGGCAGCCTGTTGTGTGTTCTATATTCTGTGCGAGAGTCAGGGGGAAACTTATCTAGCAGGGTGGGTTCTGAGGCAGAGCACCTAGCCAGCGTGACAAGGAGTGTGCAGCAAGGGGCAGCACAAATCAGAAGAGCCTTGAAGGACAGTTTTATGCCTGTCCAATTTTGAGACTGTTGCATGCAGCAAGTTGCCCCTGCATTCCCTGTGTTTGCCTTTAACTCCCCTCTCCTCCCCCCATGCAGTACAAGCAATAAAGCGATGTTGTTCAAAGAACATGAGTTTTTATTAGGGGAAAATAGCAGGGAAATGAAAGAAATGGGAACCTAAATGGGGAAGGAAGGCTCAGGGACACCCATGGAACTGCCTTTTGCCTCCTGAGGTTCTGGAGTGTATGGCAGCCCTTGAGTCCCCCCCTCTCCACCCATATCCTGGGGCCCCAGTAGCCTCTAGGGACCAAGGGAGTGGAAGAAATAGGGCTGGGGGAGGAGGGACTGGGGTTGTCGACGGGGTGGATGGGGTTCTGGGAGGAGGCCCTCTTCAGACATGAAGGCAAGTGCTCCATCACAGCATCCAGGGAGGCAAACATGGTCTCCTGCTGCTCCCTGGCCGCTCTTCTCTCCTGGCATTCAGCAATCCAGTGCAGGTGCTTTGCCCGCTTCTCCACTAGGGAGTTCATGCAGTTCACATGCTCTCTGAACATGTCCTCTCTTATCCACTTTTGCCTGCAGAGCTGAGCCAGGCAGGCAGATGCTGTAAGACGGGGAGTATGCTCTGAGCTGGCTGCTGTCCCAGCTGCAATGAAAAGTTACACGGGCAGACATTACAGGACATACATTATGTTAAGCCTAACCCTAATCTGTTAGCCTACACCAAAGGTCTCTGTAAAGACAATGGAGATGTGTTCCATGCAAGGCCAAATGTTTGCTTTAAAGTGGGCACTTTACAGCAGGTGCACAGAGTTCTTAGGGAAGCATTAGAACACACTTGGTTCGGAGGCAGGCAGGCATAGTAAGGGGCCTGCCAGAGGAGGAGCCTGCAGGCGGAGGGGGCCAGGAGAGGGTGGCTTACTTCTGTGTCTGGCATATGTTGGGTCCGGCACATGTGGCTTCCCAGTACAGTGCTACTTTCCCAGCCAGGACAGGAGCCTGCAGGTGGGAGGAGGGAGGATGGAGGCAGGGGGCAGATTCCCACTGTGTACAACACACACAACAGTACTTCTTTTCCAACCCGGGAGGGGGGAGGGAGGAAATATGTGTCTGGCACACGCAGCTTCCCAGCAAGAGTGCTAATAGGGTCCCCTCCTCCTTCATCCAGGTTGCCATGAGAGATATCAGTCTTCTCCGAATCACAGAGTGATCAGGAGCGGGTGCTAACAATGTGGTCACAAACCTGGGCCTTATGCTTCAGGGCTTTCTGGTGCAATGACATCAGACCACTTACTGGTGGCTCAGCATGGGAAGGTGTCCTACTGCAGAGGATGGAATAAGACTGGCCTCCCCAAAAAACCTTGTGAGAAGGATCAAAGAGTGCCTATCTGAGAGCTTCATGGAGATGTGCAGGCAAGACTCCCACTCCATCTGCAGACACATTGACAAGCTGTTCCCACCCCCCGCATTGTGTAGGCAGAGAGCATGCTGCACATCATACCCAACTGCCTTCGCCCACTTTAGTAAGAAAAGGTTTGTGAACTCACTGGAAGTGCCCTCCCTGGGGTCGGTGCTCAATTGGGAGACATCCTGGGAGTAGGGAACTGGCTCCAGCATCATGAACAGCTCTTGGCTCTCGGGGATCACTGGCTGGCCATGTTCCTCCTTCCACTTCACCACCATGCTGTCTTCCACACTGCTGCCAGGTGTATCATGACTGGACATCACAATCATGCTGGGGAAGCTGGCTGGGCCTCCCCTGCAAATCACATCCAGCTGCTCATAGTAGCAGCATTTGTGAGGTGCTCCATCAGACCATCCACTCACCCCCTTTGCCTTGTGGTAGGACTGCCTCAGAGCCTTGATTTGACTCTGCACTGCTGGTCATCACTGGAATAGCCGTTCGCCACCAGGCATCTGGCAATCTTCCCATAAATGCCTGTGTTCCCCTTGCTGGTTAGGAGCTCAGATTCATCGCCCCATGACTCAAAGAGGTCCACAAGGTTCTAGTGCTCTTCTGTGCTCCTGGAAACTAGAGCCCATAGAACCATAGAGCTGGAAGAGACCTCAGAAGGTCATCAAGTCCAGCTCCCTGCCCTAGGCAGGACCAATCCCAACTAAATCAACCCAGCCAGGGCTTTGTCAAGACAAGACTTAAAAATCTCTACGGATGGAGACTCCACTACTTCCCATTCCAGTGCTTCACCACCCTCCTAGTGAAATAGTTTTTCCTAATATCCAACCTGGACCTCTCCCACCGCGACTTGAGACCATTGTTCTTTGTTCTGCCATCCATCACTACTGAGAACAGCCTTTCTCCAGCCTCTTTGGAACCTCCCTTCAGGAAGTTGAAGGCTGCTATCAAGGCTCCCATGGGAGCAGAAGTATTTGAACTCATTGTAGTGTTACCATAATTGGTTGAAGTCATGTTCATATGTGGTGTGGTGTGCTGCTCTCTCTGAGTTGTGTTCCCAACACTGGCCATACAGGAAAAGCAATTCAACTTTTCCTGGGGCTTTTTCTGCTCACCTGGAGCGAAGCAGAGGCACAAGTTCTGGCCAGAGGGGTCAGAGCAGGAAACTGCAGGAGGCCTCCCAGAGGCCAATAACCTCAACTGCCAATGCTGCATCTACACTACCGTAAACTCAACCATGCAAAGTTGGAAATAAAGTTACTCCTCATGAAAAGCAGGAGTACTGAAATCGACCTCAGTGGCCCTTAAAGTCAACGTGACAGGCTTGGTAGTGTGGACACATCATTTAGAAAATCAACCATATGCAGCTAAATTTGATGTAAAGTCCTAGTGTAGACAATGCCTCAGAAAATTAAATTCCAGAGCAGGTTAAACGGAATCATAGAATACTAGAACTGGAAGGAACCTTGAGAAGTACTCAAATCCAGTCCCTGCACTCACAGCAGGACTATGCACCATCTAAACCATCCCTGACAGGTTGTTTGTCTAACTGACTCTTAAAAATATCCTATTGATGGAGATCCTACAACCTCACTATGTAAATTATTCCAGTGTTTAACTTTCCTGCCAGTTAGGAAGTTTTTCCTAATGTCCAACCTAGACCTCCCTTGCTGCATTGCTACTTGCCCTAATCTGATGATTCAAAAACAGGACAGATTTTCCCATCATCTTCTCCTACCATCCCTTGAAACCGGTTTCACGCAATGCTGTCTCACAATTTCAGTCATGTTCTTTAGAAAAGTTTTAGCATCTCCATAATCATAGAATCATAAAACTGGAAGGGGCCTTGAGAGGTCGAGTCCAGTCCCCTGCACTCCCGGCAGGACCAAGTACCATCTAGACCATCCCTGCTGGGATGCTGGGAAAGGAAGGAATCCCTCCAAAACATCACATTGTCTTTGGATACCATAGAATTTGCTACAATTCAATATATTTTAAGTTGAGAAAATGGTACAAAACTTCCTGGCTGTTCAGCACAAAGTACGGCAATATGAGAACAGGAACTTGATGACTCCACCAATTACTTTGTAGGGGGAGAAACAGTAGAAATGACATGTTCCAGTTTTGTTCAGACAATTAAAACTGATGGAGTGGTTGGGCGGTTAAAAGTAAATGAACTAGATCCTAGACATGGCCTATGTCTTCACTGCAAGTACAGTTGCAGTTTTCCATCAAGTTACTTAAGGCCATAGAAAATCCAAACGGTGACGAGGCCCAGGAAATTTTATCTGAGTGCAGCTAGTTTGGATCACCCCGTCTCCTGGAGCTCATGGCGGGAGGGTCACATGCTTCCATAACTCAGAAAATAAAGGAATTGATAGAAGGGAGCTCCGCGTTCATTCCAAAGAAGGGCAGGCTACAAAAGAGAAAAGCAGGAAGCCTACCGTGAGACCACATGGCGCAAATAGTTCAAAGAGATTTTAAGAGGAAATTACCAAAACTATTAATACAAAAAAAAAAGTGCTGCCGGCCCTAGACAAACTTACTAGAGTGTTTATTTCCCTTGCAAATACTCTGATGATAAATAAGGGCTGAGTTCTGATAGAAGTTCTTCCCACCCTCAGAGCATCTATTATCTCTCTACACCCTGTGGATCCTTCAATGTCTCATAAGGTCTGAGCTCTGAGCGAAGCTTTTGCTGTGTTCACAGCACTCATAGCTTCTCTCTCTGGTGTGGATCCTTTCACATGCAATGGGGTCTGCATTCTGAGTGAAGTTTTCTCCGCACTCACAGTAGGGATGTGAAAGTGTAACCATGTGATGAGCCTGGGCTCATCCGCTATCTTTCATGGTTACACGCAGACACCAGCTACGCATGGGGAACCAGCATAAAAGCTGGCTTGGGTTGCACACCGACTTTGGAGGCGCTGCCTGCACTTGCTGACCTCCTCTCCACACTCCTGCCTCTATATCAGAGGTAGCAACGATCGGAGCGGAAGGGGGGAAGGGAGGAAAGGAGGGAGGCAGGAGCTGACTGCCACCCCACATGTAACGGCTGAAATTCTCAGTGGCTACTTAGTTATTTAATTAAATGCATTTTAACATCCCTAACTCGCAGCATTCGTAATGTTTGTCACCCTGGTGGATTTGCAGATGTTTCCTAAGCCTTGAGCTCTCAATGAATATTTTCCCACATTCAAAGCACCCATAGGGTCTCTCGCCTGTGTGGATTTTCTCATGCGTAATAAGTTTTGAGCGCCAACTGAAGCTCTTCCCACACTCACAGCACTCATAGGGTCTTTCTCCTGTGTGGATCCGCTGATGTTTATTAAGGTTTGAGCGTTTACTGAAGTTTTTTCCACACTCATTGCACGTGTTGTTTCTCTTTCCTGTGTGACTTCTCTGCTGGGCTGTGGTTTCCTCAAGGTAGTTATGAGGTTCCCAACAATGAATGGAGCTATTCGGTATCTCCCCTGGCTTGTTTTGCTGCCTCTTCTGAGGTCTGTGTGGACTCCCACAGCCTTTTCCCAGTGCGTGACTGCTGCAGACATCGTCTTGGCACATTTGCAATAAAGCCCTACGTGGTTCCACGTACTCATCATCTTCCCGGGGAGGTTTCCTCTCTTCGGTCTCATTCATCGCTCCATCACCTGCTGGGACAGAGAGAGAGAAACCTCAGAAACAGGCTTGGAAAAAGGAAAAACAAAACAAAGTTAGATCTGGAGAGATGGAAAATAATCAGGAACTGACTGAATTTCCCCAAACACTTTCCCACAGGGGTAAAGGAATCAGTTCTGCCTGGATATCCCATCCACTCAGGGAGAAGGGAAGTCAAGGAGGAGCTGCTGCCAGGTGTCGGGAGGGTAGAAAGTCATGAGCGACTTCCCTGAGGATACGAACCTGGGGACAATCCTGAACTCAGAGAACCCACAGGGTCTTGGGATTCCAAGCTGTTTTCTTCAGAGTCTGACAGGTTTGAATTTACGACCGGATCTTTGGGACTGTGGAACCTCTGTGCCCCTTAAAATTCCAGCCAGGGCTGACTCTCACAAAGCTAGTGATAAGTAGCCCCACACTTTGCTAGAGTGCATGACGAGCCATTCACAAATCACACAGGGAATAGGCATCAGCCAAATCCCTCCCAACTCCCAGCCTAGTAGAAACAAAAACCTAGCTGTGGATATGCTACTAATAGGCAGACTAAGCATGTGCTTAGGGCACCAGTAAAGCAGAGGCACCACAAAAAACAAAAAACAAACAAACAAAAAAAAGAGAGATATTTTACGGTATAGTATTGTTTTTATTTTGAATTTCATCTGGGGGGCACCATAATCTTTTCATTGCTTAGGGCCTCTAAAAATCTTAATCCGGCCCTGCTAGTACCGCAAGAAGATACTGACTTGCAATGCTCAAGATGAGTAGTGCAAATTTATTAATTAGTCTGCAACTTTATCAGTGGAAAACAATTATACACCAGCCTTTGTAAACCTGGGCAGATAGCTAACACTTCAGGCAAACGTGCTGGTAAAGATAAATAGTACAACAAGTGTAATGACTACAAAAGATAGATTTTAAATTATTATAATTGATAAGCAAAAAGTCAGAGTGGTAAAGAAAAGAAAAGAAAAGAAAAGAAAAGAAAAGAAAAGAAAAGAAAAGAAAAGAAAAGAAAAGAAAAGAAAAGAAAAGAAAAGAAAAGAAAAGAAAAGAAAAGAAAAGAAAAGAAAAGAAAAGCATATAGTCTAAACTCTCAACTAATGTTCACTTTAATATTTTCCATCCACATGCAGATTTTTTTCATCCATTTGCAGAATAAATTTTATATGTGCACCAAGGCATGTGAAAATGTGCACCAGTAGTAGAAACAAAAACCTAGCTGTGGATACGCTACTAATCAGCTGGGCAGTATTTGAATCTCTCCTGAGAGGCCGCACAAATGCCCAGCTTACAGGAACACTGTACTTAACCCTATTTAAAATGTTACTCTATCCCTGCTGGATACTGCAGTTCATAATACACAAGTTCAAGGCTTGAAACCTGGACAAGTCTCCACTGCTGGAGTCTTTAGTCTTTGGAGAGTCCTTGTTGCTTTCTTGCAGCATAGGTGGGGACAAGAGAAAGGCCAAGCATGAGTGTTTTCTTTTATACTCTTAGACGGTGTGCTTGGAGAGCATGTGTCCAGGCATGCTTAGACTGGACAATGCTGAGTCGCAAGGTGTAGCAATACCCGGTATGGGCATGTCTACACGACCAAGTTTTGTCACCAAAAATGGCCTTTTGATGATGTAACAGTGAGAGCAGACATACTGCACTGTGATTTTTATTAGGAAAAATGCCCAGTTTCAGTGACAAAGAACAGCCAGCACTACAAGAGACTTTTTTATTTTCTTCTCCCTTCATTGTCAATAAACACCCAGTGCGGACAGAACTGGATTGCGCCAGTATCCCACCATGCCTTCCTTGATGGCTCTCCTCAATATTTTGATCTCTGCGCCACTGCAGGCATGCACCCTTCCTCTTTCAAAGCTCTGGGAAGCATCTGACAGCTGACTGAACTGCTTCCTTTGAAGAACAAACAAAGAGCAAATCATTGGAGTGCTCTTGTTCTGCCCTGCACTAGGAACACGGTGGCAGGCAGAAGGCTGCTGCAGGGGAGGGTACAAACTGCTGTGCTACTCTGACATTCTTCAGCACAGAAAGCCCACAGATCTACTCATGGTGCCGCTCTTGGAAACTGGAGGCTGTGAAAGAACTCAGAGGCTATCCCAAGATGTGTAGGTCTAAGAACGTAAGAACAGCCATACTGGGTGAAGCCACAGATCCATCTAGCCCAGGATTCTGTCTTCTCATAGTGGCCAATGCCAGGGGCTATCCCAGGTTACAGTGATCCATCCCCAGTTACACCTTGCCAGGTTCTGACAAACAGAGGCCAGGGATACCATTCCTGCCCATGCTGACTAAAAGCCAGTGATGGACTGATCCGCTATTAATTTATAATAGCGCTTTTTTTGAAGCCTGTTATGGTCTTGGGTTTCACAACATCCTCTGACAAGAAGTTACACAATGCAAAGTTAACCTGTGGAAGGAGTAACTTTCTTCACTTTCTTCACACCAGTCATGGTTTTATAGACCTCTTATCATATCCCCACTTAGTTATCTCTTTTCCAAGCTGAAAAGTCAGTCTTATTAGATCAGAACACTGCACTGCGAACATACCCACAGTGCATTGCTCATACTGTCCATGATGGTGGGCCCCATGTGAATGTGATCTGTTGATAGAGGGAACAAGTCTGAACACTCTTGGGTGAGATTTGTTTTGTCGACTTTTGGGTGTTGACCTAAGGTTTCTTGACAAAACTTGGTAGTATCCTTAGCCTGACTCTTCTGTGAGTGGTTCTTTTAACTGTAACTCCTTTGCTGGAGAAAGGTTAATGATACCACTTCAGCACTCACCCATGTGTTGGTTACCTCCCTTGTCATTGTCTCTGGAGAGCTTTCTAAACTCACAGCATATTTAGTGACAACCCTACAACACAATCTCATGATATCATATGCATCAATGATAGACATATTGGGATGGCATGGTTGGTTCCATAGAATCATAGAATACTAGAAGTGGGAGGGACCTTTGGAGGTCATAAAGTCCAGTCCTCTGCACTCACCAACAGATCAAACTCCATCTAGACCATTTCTCAAACTGACTCTTGATGGAGATTCCACCACCTCCCTAGACAAATTATTCCAGTGTTTAGCCACCCTGACAGTTAGGAATTTTTTCCTGATGTCCAACATAAGCTTCCCTTGCTGCAATTTAAGCCCATTGCTTCTTGTCCTAGCATCAGAGGTCAAGGAGGATAATTTTTCTACCTCTTCCTTGTAACACGCCTTTAGATACTTGAAAGCTGCTATTATGTTCCCTCTTAGCTTGTCTTTTCCAAACTAACCAAACCCAATTCTCTCAGTCTTCCTGCATAGCTCATGTTTTCTAGACCTTTAATCATTTTTGTTGCTCTTCTCTGGACCGTCTCCAATTTCTTCACATCTTTTCCAGAATTGGACACAGTACTCCAGCTGAGGCCTAATCAGCGCACAGAAGAGTGGAACAATTACCTCTCCTTTTCTTTTTGCAACAACGTCACACTGTTGACTCATATTTAGCTTGTGCTCCACTATGACCTCTACTGCCCTTTCTGCAGTACTCCTTTCTAGACAGTCACTTCCCATTTTGTGTGCGTGAAACTGATTTTTCCTTCCTAAGTAGTTTACTTTGCATATATCCTTGGTGAATTTCATTCTATCTACCTCAGGCTATTTCTCCAGTGTGTGCAGATCATTCTGAATTATAATCCTATCCTCCAAAACACTGCAACCCCTCCCATCTTGGTATAATCTGCAGACTTTATAAGCATATTCTCTATTCCATTATCTAAATAGTTGATGAAGATATTGAACAGAACCGTTCTGTAAACTGATCCCTGCGAGACCCCACTTGTGAAGCCCTTCCAGCGTGACTGTGATCCATTGATAACAACACTATGTGAATGGTTTTATCCAGCCAGTAGTTGGGAAAAAACAGTCTGCCTTTCCATCCACAAGCAACCCCCACTCAGAAGAAAAAGGACAAGAAGTGGCTTTGCCTATGGATGAAAAAGGGGGTTTAAACGAAGGATGACCACTTTTACCTCCAACTCTAATGAGTTTAATGATCTAAGATCAAAGAATTCAAACCATGAATCCCAAACACAGAGAGCTCAGAACACCGTGTCATGAGAAACTATAGAAGATAGAGGATAGAAGGTGAAGAGGATAAACTCTACACAGCTCAGACAGATGGACAGCTTCAGACACTGCTGGGATGCCGGGAAAGGAAGGAATCCCTCCCAAAACATCACACTGTCTTTGGATGCCACAGAATTTACTACAATTAAATATATTTTAAGTGAGAAAATGGTACAAACCCCCGCCGCTGTTCAGCACAAAGCGCGGCAATGTGAGAACAAATGGAAATGAGGGAATTTGTGTCCAGAGGGGGGAACTTGATGACTCCACCAATCACTTTGTAGTGGGAGAAACAGTAGAAACAAAATGTTCCACACTATCAATTCCTTTACTTTCTGAGTCATGGGAGCATGTGTCCCTCCCTTTATGAGCTCCAGGAGACAGGGGTGATCCAGACTAGCTGCACTGAGATGAAAATTTCCTGGGCCACGTCTTCACTTGGATTTTCTATGGCCTTAGGCAGTTTGATGGAGAACTTCAGCTGTACTTGCAATAAAGACATAGGCCATGTATAGTGTCAGCACACTTACTCATAACATCCCAAGCATTGAATCAGTTTTAATTGTCTAAGAAAAGCTACGTCTAGAATGCAAGCTTCTTTCGAAAGAGGCTTTTTCAAAAGATACTTGTTGTAGTCTAGATGCTCTTTTTCAAAAGATACTTTTGAAAAAGCCTCTTTTGAAAAAGAGCATCTAGACTACAACAAGTATCTTTTGAAAAAGCCTCTTTCGAAAGAAGCTTGCATTCTAGACGTAGCTTTTCTTAGACAATTAAAACTGATTCAATGCTTGGGATGTTATGAGTAAGTGTGCTGACACTATACATGGCCTATGTCTTTATTGCAAGTACAGCTGAAGTTCTCCATCAAACTGCCTAAGGCCATAGAAAATCCAAGTGAAGACGTGGCCCAGGAAATTTTCATCTCAGTGCAGCTAGTCTGGATCACCCCTGTCTCCTGGAGCTCATAAAGGGAGGGACACATGCTCCCATGACTCAGAAAGTAAAGGAATTGATAGAAAGTAGCTCCGGAATCATTCTAAAGAAGGACAGCCTACAAAAGAGAAAAGCAGGAAGCTGTTCAAAGAGATGAAGAGGGAATTAGCAAAAAAAATTAATGATAAACATTTTTGTCAGCCCTAGATAAAGTTCCTAGGGTGTTTATTTCCCTCACAAATACTCTAATGATAAATAAGGGCTGAGTTCTGACAGAAGCTCTTCCCACACTCAGGACATCTATTGGCACGCTATGCTGTGTGAATCTTCTGGTGTCTAGTCAGGTTTGAGCTCCGACCAAAGTTTTTCCCACACTCACAGCACTCATAAGGTCTGGTTCCCGAGTGGATCCTCAGATGTCTCATAAAGTCTGAGCTCCGAGCAATGGTTTTCCCACACTCACCACACTCATAGGTTCTCTCTCCAGTGTGGATTCTCTCATGTGCAACGAGGTCTGCATTCTGAGTGAAGTTTTTCCCACACTCGCAGCATTCATAACGTCTGTCTTCCTGGTGGACTCGCAGATGTTTCCTAAGCGTTGAGCTCTCAACAAATTTTTTCCCGCACTCATAGCACTCATAGGGTTTCTCTCCTGTGTGGATTCTCTCATGTGTAATAAGTTTTGAGCGCCAACTGAAGCTTTTCCCACACTCACAGCACTCATAGGGTCTTTCTCCTGTGTGGATCTTCCAATGTTTATTAAGGTTTGAGCGTTTACTAAAGTTTTTCCCACACTCACTGCATATGTTGTTTCTCCTTACTGTGTGACTTTTCTGTTGGGGTGTAGTTTCATCAAGGTACTTATGAGGTCCCCAACAATGAATGGAGGTATTAGATATCTCTCCAGGCTTGTTTCCCTGCCTCCTCTGTGGGCTCTCACAGACTTTTCCTGGCATGTGACCACTGGAGACATCCTCTTGGCATATTTGCAATAAAGTCCCACATGTTTCCAAAAACTCATCATCTTCCTGGAGAGGTTTCTTCTCTTCGATCTCATTCATCACCCCATCACCTGCTGGGACAGAGAAAGAAACCTCAGAAACAGACATGGAAGAAGGAAAAACAAAGCAAAGTTAGAGCTGGAGAGATGGAAAATAATCAGGGACTGACTGAATTTCTCAAACTCTTTTCCGCAGGGATAAAGGGATTAATTCTGCCTGGATATCCCATCCAAACACTCGGGGAGAAGGGAAGTCAAGGAGGAGCTGCAGCTAGGTGTAGGGATGGGTAGGAAGTCATGAGCAACTTTTCTAAGAATATGAACCTGCTGGGGAGAGCCCTGATCTCAAAGAACCATAAGGTCTTTGTTGGGAATCACAGCTGCTTTCTTCAGACTCTGAAAGGTTTGAATTTATGAGAGGATCTCCAGGACTGTGAAACCACTGTGCCCCTTAAAACTCCAGCCAGGGCTGTCTCTCACAACGCTTTGCTAGTGACAAGCAGCAAACCCCTCCGGGCACTGTTATGGAGTGCTCGGGTGGTTATAAGAAAATGTGCTAGACACTATACATGGCCTATGTCTTGACTGCAAGTACAGCTGAAGTTCTCCATCAAGCTACCTACGGTCACAGAAAATCCAAGTGGAGATGTAGCCCAGGAAATTTTATCTCAGTGCAGCTAGTTTGGATCACCCCTGTCTTCTAGAGCTCAGGGAGGAAGGGACACATGCTTCCATAACTCAGAAAGCAAAGAAATTGATAGAAAGGAGCTCTGGATTCATTCCAGAGCAGGACAGGCTACAAAAGAGAAAAGCAGGAAGCCTACTGAGAGACCACATGATGCAAATAATTCAAAGAGCTGTAAGTGGGAATTAGCAAAAAACAAAAATGATAAAAAGTTTTGTTAGCCCTAGATAAAGTTCCTAGTTTATGGCCCTCACAAATACTCTAATGATAAATAAGGGCTGAGTTCTGCCAGAAGCTCTTCCCACACTCAGAACATCTATTGTCTCTGCACTGTGTGAAACCTCTGGTATTTAGTAAGGTTTGAGCTTCAAGCAGAGATTTTCCCCAAACTCATAGTACTTATAAGCTCTCGCTCCCAAGTGGCTCCTCAGATGTCTCATAAGGTCTGAACTCTGAGCAATGTTTTTCCCGAACTCACCAAACTCATAGGTTCTCTCTCCAGTATGGATCCTCTCATGTGCTATGAGGTCTGCATTCTGAGTGAAGTTTTTCCCACACTCACAGCATTCATAACATCTGTCTTCTTGGTGGACTCTCAGGTGTTTCCTAAGCGTTGTGCTCTCAACAAATTTTTTCCCGCACTCATAGCACTCATAGGGTTTCTCTCCTGTGTGGATTCTCTCATGCGTAATAAGTTTTGAGTGCCAACTGAAGCTTTTCCCACACTCACAGCACTCATAGGGTCTTTCTCTTGTGTGGAGCTTCCGATGTTTATTAAGGTTTGAGCGCCTACTGAAGTTTTTCCCACACTCACTACATATGTAGTTTCTCCTTACTGTGTGACTTTTCTGCTGGGGTGTGGTTTTCTCAAGGTACTTGTGAGGTCCCCAACAATGAATGGAGCTATTCAGT